AAATACACATGTGGCCAGCTTGTCACTGCTCTTTATTGAATAGATGGTTGATGTATGATTATACAATAATAACAAAGAATTCTAAGCTTTTATTCATGTAACTATGAAATTTATATTTTAAAATCTGGCTGTTCAGTCTTTTACTTGCAGCAGTAGATTGTGCTGAAGAATTTGTTTACAGACCCTCTGTCTAATTAATTATTATGAAATCATTATCACAATGAACCTCATTAGTACTAAACAGATTGATATTTGGTACTTTTTCTTTCTTTGATTATCTATCATCTTTTTTCTCCTCTATTAGTTTTTAAGTGAGAGGTTTCAAGTGTTCTATACCAGTAATGAGTCATTGGTATCACTGACCAGTCAGATAATGCACCAGTCCCTTACTCTTGGTGTTGGGCCCAGTACTAGCGACCAGCCTCAATTCCTCTCCCCCTCTATATCAGGAGCCACTCCTAGGTTCAAGTTCCTTACACTGGCCACTCAGTTAATACGTAACACAACCCTCATGCCTAATCCTATTGATAGGAACTTGTTGAGGGAGAAGATATACAACGCAACAATGGATTATTTCTGGTATGTGTACTTGACACAATATGTCTTCAATTCTCCCTCTCTCTCTCTCTCTGTCTTATAGTTATCAGCCAATGTGGATAGTAGGGGATATTAAGGCATTACGACAAACAATGGACTCCTTGATAAAGTATGTTTGTATAGCTTTATAAATGATAATAATCCCTACACAATCGTATTTTATAATGTGCATAATTATTAATGTTGGTCATCGATATTTTTTAGGTTTTGGTCAGCTGTCAAGGAGATCAAGAATGTTGTTGCTGCTACTCAAAGTTGGTTAATTGATACTTCAACTCATTACCTACTCTTGTTATAATATATTCCTCATTTATATTCTTGTAGCTTTTGATACAGGACCATCAACGTTACCTCGCAACAGTAGCTTCTGGCAGGCACTGGACAGTCCTTCTGTACAGGTACAGGATAAAGGGAAAGAGCTATTTATTCATTATAAGAAAAACCTTTATCTTTTGTAGGGTAGTTGGTTAAACACATATTCCATTAGAGGAAGCAACAGTCGATCACAATCACTCAATAGTTAGTATAAACTGTCTTTGTTATTATTAATTTATTTATTTATTTATTGTATTTTTTAGTTCCCTTGATGACTTCTACTGGTAAACGGAGTACAATGGTGAAGAGTAGAGTACTACTCAAGAGACGTAATCTTATACTAGCTATACTGGTAATATGCATCACTTTATACACATCAGGGTTTCCCACTGGATTTTGGCATAGTGCTCATGCAGCTTCTTGTCAGTGGATTGTCAAATTGGTTAAAAATTGGGCCAAAGACTCTGTACTGTATGTAGTACAGGGTATTTTGACAAAAATCGTAAGGAGAGAATTTTTTATTTTTATAATTTTTTCTGATGCGTATACATGTTTTTGTGTTATGAAAAAAGTTTGAACTGACTGTGATCAAAGTTGTTTTTTTTATGAATTTTTAAAGTTGCTCAAAAATTGGGCCAACGACCAAAGGCTATAGCCTTGGGTCCTAGGCCAAATTTTGTCAAAAATGGCTAGGAGAGAATTTTCCATTTTTATATATTTTTTCTGATACATATACATGTCCTTATGTTGTGTATCAAGTTTAAGCTGATTCTGATCCAATTTGGATTTTTTATGAATTTTAAAAGTTGTTCCAAATGCCATGTACTGTATGTATAGTGCTTGTCAGCTCATGAAGCTTATACTGTTTACTGTTTAGCTCACTTAGCATGCTTTGTGGGAAATCCTGGTACACACTACAATGTATATTTATTTAATATTACAAGTTTACATTTTATGATTATGTTATTATAGCGTCATGAAGTAGACAGATTGAGTGCTTGGATGAATCCATTTGGAGCAGCTGAATTATCAATACCTGGTAAGAGGAGGATAAGATTGTTTATGTCTACATGTATATGTGTGTGTCAGAGAAATGAAGCATAGTTATTATTGTTGTTATTATTATTGTTATTATTGTTGTTGTTATTATTGCTATTGTGTACAGGTGAGGATAACCTTCAAGCATGGACCAATCCCACTCAGACTGACAGGAACTGGCAGAACACAGTCACAATGGCCTACCAGTCCTCACCTCATCTAGCATTCTATGTATACTATAGGTACATTAAGCCATCATTCATCATTGTTACTATTATATTTATTATTACTAATATTATTATTTATTATTATCTTATTATTAGGTTTAGAAGTAATGAGGCAGTGACTAGAGAGTTCAATCGATTGATACAAACTAATCCAGTGGCATTCATTGATATACCTGAAGCTGCTCAAGTTAGTTAATTAAGGAACTAAGTCTTTTATTAGACCTACATGTATGTGTCTTCTCTTAAAATTTTAGACATTTGCCAGTAAGGAGGTTGTTGAAAAAGATTCCAGAGAAGTAAGGCATCAACTTTATCAATAGAAAACAATTTAATTTTTTTGTTTTATTATTATATTTTGTGTATAGTTGTATCATTTATTGTATTGGAGAGGCATACCACCAGCAATGGCACTGATGTACTTCACAAGACCTTACTCCAATCATCCCATCACTGGACAGTTTGCTAATAAAGCAATGCAGAGCTTTAAACCAGTAAACACATTAATATATTACATGTATGTACATATAATGTATCAATTACTCATGATAGAGTGATATAGTCCAGTTCATACCTCAAGTTGTACAAGCACTGAGATATGACAAGGTCAGTAACTTAATCCTAAATGTACATGTACACTATCTTTTATTGTAGCTTGGATTTGCTAAGGATTATATTCTGACTGCTGCACGTTCATCACAAGTATTAGCACATCAGGTGAGCCTCCTACCAGTGTATCGATTAGTGTATGTGCTTGTGTATTTATTAGTTCTTGTGGAATATTCAAGCAAATACTTATACTGATGAGGAAGGAGAGATCAAAGAACGTAAGTTGCAAATAAACAGAATAATTATTATGATTTTATATACATGTACTTGTATGTACATTGTATATTTCTATAATTATTTTTCTCTTTGTTTAGCTGAAATTGGTTCACTATTAGAGCAGTTACATAAAGAGTAAGAGTATAGTTACTATGCTATTGTTTTATTATCTGTCTGTTAGGATATTGAATAATCTATCAGGAGCAGCAAAGAAGTTTTATGAGAGAGAATTCTCATTCTTTAAGAAAGTGACTGACATATCTGGCATCATCAGGTAAGACACACTAATACTTATTAACAGAGCTCATTGTTACATGTACATGTACACTGTAGACCTTATCCTAAACCAGAGAGAAAGGAACAGTGCTTGAAGGCACTGAGAGAGGTTACTCTTGAACCAGGTAACGGGATTATAAAATAGCAAAATACCTACATATTTATAATATTATACTACCTCAATCCATTCCCTTCATTAATATGTACTATAGGTGTGTATTTGCCCAGTAATCCTGAAGCAGTTGTTCTTGGGATTGACTATGACTCTGGCACTCCTATGCAAAGGTAAGACTGTTTTATCTTATCATGTAATTTGATCCTTGTATATGTGTAGTGCTGCAAAAGCACCTTTCTTGGCAAAGTTTAAAGTCCAGCCTTGTGGTATTGCTGAAATGGAAGCTCTCAACATTCAAGATGATCAAAGTGTGTTATAATGAATTTTACATGCTATCTTTATGTATGTGTGTGTATATGTATAGCATTAGCTGAGGATCTACAGAAGTTTTTATCAAGTGATCAGTCAGTCTGGCAAGGAAGCATTTTTAAAGTTAGTGAGAGGAGAGACAGAGAAGAATCGTCAACCTAATCGATGGATGATTTTATTTTTATCTTATTACGTACATGTGTAGGTTGGTGATGACGTACGTCAGGACATGCTCGCGTTACAAATAATCAAGTTCTTCAAAGACATTTATGATGAGATTGGCCTTCAGCTTTATCTAGTTCCTTACAGGGTAGTAGCCACAGCTGCTGGAGTAAGAAAAATATAAATAATAATAATTAAAATTTTGCTTATACTTTATATTTTTATTACTATTATTCTTTGCTTCCTTAGTGTGGTGTGATTGAAGTTGTTCCTGATTCAAAGTCCCGTGATCAGTTAGGAAAGCAGACCCAAGTCTCACTGAAGGAGTACTTTCATTCAGTGTATGGTGATGAAGACTCATACCCATACCAGGAGGCTCGCTCTAATTTCATACGCAGCATGGCAGCTTACTCACTGATAACTTACCTACTGCAGATCAAGGACAGACATAATGGAAATATAATGTTAGACAAATGGGGACACATTATTCACATTGGTGAGCTAACTATACATATATGCACATGTGCATGTGTACTGGATGGGAATTAATGCCTATATTAACAAGAGGACTTATCTGGTTTAAATAAATGGTTTACTGTGTGTGTGTATTTAATTTTTGTTCCTTTTTATAGATTTTGGTTTTCTTTTTGAGTCATCTCCTGGCGGTAATCTTGGGTTTGAGCCTGATCTTAAACTCACTGAAGAAATGCTTGAAATAATGGGAGGAAAGAAGAGCGACTCTTATAAGTATGAGCAATGTATTCCTCCACTTTTTCTATTATTACTATTGTTATTATTATTATTATTATTATTATTACTATTATTATTGCTATTATTATTATTATTATTATTATACTTATTTAGATGGTTTCTTGAGTTGTGTGTTCAAGGATATCTTGCTGTAAGACCTTATCAAGAACAAGTTGTGGCTATGGTGACTCTAATGCTAGACACTGGTTTCCCATGCTTCAGGGGCAATACTATTGATGAGCTAAGGTACTGTAAAATAGGATGAATTGATTGGCATTGTTGGGTGGAACTCCAATCACTATTAGTAATAAAGCTGGTTGTGTATAAGTGACTTATTTCTTTTATCAAGAATAGATAATTATTTTACTTATACATTTTAGGTCTCGTTTTCGAATGAATTTCTCTGAGAAAGATGCTGCTAGGGCCATCGTTGAAGTTGTTGAGTCGGCATGCTTGAATTTTAGGTAACATAACATGAGAATTCTTTTGTATCCTTTTTTATAAAGTACTCTGTACTAATATAATTTTACTATTATTAATTAATTTTACTGTTTGTGTTTGAGCAATTGTTGAGTAATCTGGTACTGCTGTTATATCTATTAATCTTCAACAGGACATTCTCTTATGATCTCATTCAAGATGTCCAGCAAAACATTTATTATCACAAGAAAAACTAATTTATTGTCTAAAGTACATCATGTTTGCTATTGTTATGCTATTATCATTGTTATTCAGTATTATGTATTAATTGGTTATTGGTATATTGTGCCACATAACTTTTTCCAGAATTATTAATGACATTATTACATATATTAGTAATGATGTTATTAATTTGTCTAGCAGTTTAAAGATTCTACACTAAATTTACTAAAATTAGTACACACAATTATTGTTAGAGGTTTTCAATGTCTTTGTATCACAACTCCATATGCAGAGCAATCATTGGTTGGTATGTTATTGACATTAGCATTAGTACCAGTTATCATCTCAACATTTTCATATTGGGCAGGAAGGGAAGGATTCCTCTCTTCTTGATTTCTCATTGTGTTACCTATATCATGCTTGTAAAAACTTCTAATCATTAGTTTATGAATAACACACCTTTTTTTCTGCACCAGATTACAATAGAGAAATTTATAAAAATAGACGCAAAGCAAACTATAAGTGACAATCCCAGTGTAACACCTAAAATTACAAAATATTTTTCATTAACTTCTTTCAGTTTTTTACCTCCAGTTATTGTAACTAAAGTTGATGAACAACTGGAAACAGTAGGAGATTGTAAATTCACTGTTGTTGACTGGTTTATTGAGAATAAAGGAATACTAGAACTGAAAGTAGATTCAACTGTAGGCAATGACTCAGTAACAATGATTAAAGTAGAAGCTGCAGGTGAATATAAATGAACAGATCCATCACTATTGATATCATAGACACTGATACTGTATTGACCAGGTTCAACAGTCCCTGGGATTGATCCTATTCTGAGTTCTCTTAAAACAGTAGTTATGTAGTATAGTCCAATTGATGTTTCATGCATGACAATGTAGCATCCAATTGCTTGTGACCCATGTACAAACTCACACATAAAACTAGTATTAGTGCTGTCAGTAGAGAGAACTGTAAAGCTATTGATATCAAAAAAGCCTATGTACAAACAGACCAGTATGTGAGTAGTAAAGAATAACAATCAATTGTAAACTTACTAGATCTAATAATAACTACATGGGAAGAGTTGGTAGTGTACAAATCACTACTGTGTGATAGTATTATAGTAAAGTTGTAATATCTGTCATCTATTACTGAAGATGAGATATTAAATGTAGCTATTAGTTGACTCATAGTGATGACATTTATGTTAGTTGTATTATAACTGATGGTACTATTAGTTTCTTGTAGTGATACTTGACTGATACAAAATGATGAACTGGGTGAGGATAATTCAATCTATTTTGATCCTTTAAAACATTATTTATCATTAATTTTTAATACTTACTTTGATAGCTATAATCCAATTTTGTAAACCATCACGATATTGTTGTATGAGTTCATTATTTAAAAGTACAGCTACATAATTGGAATAAACAATTCCATTACTCATTACAAATAGATTAATATACTTACAATTTGTTACATTGAAGTCGTAATTAAATACTTCCCCCTCTCCTACACTATTGACAGCAGCTATACTAACAGTGTGGATACCAAAATCCGTAGGACAGTATGTCGATTGCGATACACTGACGTTAGAGTGAAGTAGGATACTACCAGTAGATGTGATATCAATATTATATCTCAGTATAGAAAAACCAGGTAGAGAGAAAGGAGGTATCCAATAGAATTGATAACAACAAGATTCATTAGACTGTACTATAGTTAGATTATTGACAGGTTCTGGTCTACCTTGTACCCTCAGTGTAACTGGAGAAGGACTGAAGTCACCAATACCAAATCCAAATGCAACACATTGTACTTCAGTGTCATTGAATGGATCCACTAGTCCTGGTATAGTGAGAG